TTTTTTTTTTTCATTTAAAGTTCTGATGTCAATATTATGATCAACTGAAACAGCAGCAAAAACAGTTGAATAACAAAACAATGAAGTCCTTATATGTACTGTAGCATGCTGTGAAGTCCAGAGTGGCAACCTGAAAACCTGGGAGTCTATGATATTCAAAAACCAGGTCAAAATGTTTTGGCTCTTTGTGGTTTCATTTCATCCAGTCTCATTTCATCCTGCGACTCTTCAAATAAATTGTAATACAAGTGGAGCTGTGTGTGGATTTTAATAATCACTTACAATAACCTTAACCTTCCAGCTCATCTGGCAAAACTTTGATTCATAAAATGTGTATTTTTCACCATAAGGTATATAAATATGTGTATTACAATGAATGAACTGTAAACTTCCCTTTTAATGGAGCATGTTTGTATTCTTTTTTGTCCACTCACGTGTCCACACTCTGCACACTAGATCACAGACCACGACAGACAAATGTGGGTCACATTTTGTGACCTGAGAGGTAGAAAACAGCACCACCTACAGGATTCACGTTCATGTTGCAACCCATACTGGATGGAGGGAAAATCTGTTGTTTTATCTGGTACGTGTTTACATGACCATAGTACATCTACAGCTGTGCACAGTGTCTGTTTATTTCCAAATTATCCAAAATGCTGCTGAATAGAGAGTAATACTTAACGGATGTACTTATAATAACCCTGCATTTATCTGTAAAAAATGTTGGAAATGGTTATATAAACCCTATAAACATTCTAACTTCACATATGTGCACGTGTCATGTGTTAAAATGGCAATTTACTTAACAATATAATGATATACATAAACAGTAACATACAACTGAAACAGATACCTATATAGGCAAATCAAAGGATAAACCAAAAAATTATATAGAAACCATTAAAAAACAACCTTTCAGTACAGCACAGACACACCAAATGGGTTAATAAAACACGATTAAATAATTGATTCGCCCTTCCCTTTACATGTTGCCATGCTATACCAAAACACAAAAGTTTTAAACTAATCCTTTATTCTCAGATTGTTTTGGTTCCATTAAAATCACCTAATCTTTGACACAATATACAGGAATACAATCTGATAGTCAGAGAATAAAAAATTAATGCACTGAAGAGCCAACACCACTAGATGGAGACATGCTAAACACATGAGACATTATCTCCTTTTATCTGGTGTTCTCGGTGTTACTGAAAGGTGAACTGAACTGTGAGAGGACATACGGAGGCCAGTGTGATAAAGGTGTAAATATGGTGATAAGAAAGAGAAGCAACAATTTAAATATGTTTTACCCTATCTAGGTATTACTAAAACTACAGAACCACAGAGATGTTTTCTGAGCTTGGCCCCGACAATGCAAGAATTTGTTTTTGTGCCATTTACACTGAAGGCACTGAAGTATATGTAACAAGTTAGTTCTATTAAATGTTGTAAGTAGAAAAGGTGATAAGGACAGATAGTAATATCAGTAGAGTATAAATTTACACATTTGCAATGAGCACACCATAAATTTATTGAAATTACTGACATCAGTGAATGCTGATTGTGGGTGTTTCCTAGAAGTCTGCAGTTATACTGCCTGTTGCTCCTCCCTAATAATGACCATGTGGTGCAGGTCAAACACAGGCTGACAGGAGAGGGAGGACAACCTTACCTTTCTCTCACCTTGCAGAGAGTAGAGTACAACGAAGATACCAGAGAGCCAAAGAAGAAGTCAGATAACACGAGACAGACATCTGATGACAAAGGTGCTGATGGCAGGGGGTAAACTGCTGGAAATGTGGAATAAAGGAGATACAGAGAAAGAGTCCTGCATAGATGAAGAAAGAGCATCTCAACCACGTAAAAAATTATCCCACTCGATTGAAGAAATACTGAGGAGGCCCACATGTGTCAGAAAAGAAAAAAGAGTTAATCGTAACTGGTCCGTTATCAAGGAGAACACCAGAATATCTAACCAGCTCTCATGCACAGGTATGGGTTTCATTACTCTCTTATTCAAACGCTTGCTACATCATAGTTTTTATTTTAAAAAACATATATATTCTCATAATGTTGGAATTTTCTTTCTGCCAGTAGAAACTCCACAAACCAGACTACTCGAAGACTCTCCAAAAGCCACAACAGACTGCATGAGTGAGTATTATAATT